AGTAATTTGCAAAACTTTTTTTAAACAGTTTTATATTTTCATGGCTACATTCAGAATATTTTAGATTCTACTTTTTCATTGAGCATACACGTCTTTTCAAATGGAAATCTTGACATCAGTTTAATTCTTGTTTAATTTCTTTAAAATGCCTCTATTTGGAGAAAAAAGGATTAGACCCAGTTCCCAAAGCAAGATAATTGAGTTTTTGACTCCTCCCCGATTACTTCAATGGCATTAAAGATAATCTTATCAGATATTCCTGCCGTGTGGCGTGTTAGGAGTGTTCTGGTTCACCCTGAAGCACGCTGGCATCGCTCCAGTCATAAATCAGGATGTTAAACATGTGGGATTGTCTTGGTTTGTTATCCAAGACAAACAAGCGTGTTGCTGGTTAAATATGGGCTTGTTCGAGTTGAGCAGCGCCTCGCCAGGAAAACGGACGAGAGCAGACGGACGCAGCAGGGGGAGTGGCTGAAAGCCGGCATTTAGGCCGAACAGATTTCCCTACACGTGTAGCTCGCGGGTGACGATAGATGAAGATATCGCGTTAGAGTTCATACTTTAATTTATTTTAATTCTGGTGCCTGTTAGCAACCGAAACACATCCTCACGTGCATGTGGATGGATATAATAAAATGCATATGGAGACATGACTGTAATAATAAGTAAATGATATCAGCTGTAGCTTTAGTGTACTTATAGGAAACGTGACAAACACAAAACATATTTGTTTTTATGGCCTGTAGTGGCAATTCCTTGTTTGTCCAAGCAATTTCCTTAGTGTTTTTAAGTCCTTAAGCGAATGCTGCACTGAAGTGATGTCTTGTACGCAGGCAAAAGAAGTCCAAACGATCTTAACTGTTCAGTATTTTTGGTGTTCATTCATCCAACTTAGAAAGTACATCTCCATTTCCTGCTGCTGCTCCTGCTCTGATTAAAAAAAAAAAAAAGAAAAAAAATTATAGGTCCACCCCAGTGCATGCTGGTCCAACACCAGTCCCCATATTTATAGAAAAACAAAACACCTCTTTTCTTCCTGACTGATTCTCACAAGCAAAACAAAAATAAATAAATTCATCATTAACCAACAACTAAACCCAATAAATAACCCAACAACTGTAACTTGCCTAAATAGCTCCAACATGGCCTATATTGTTGTCATCATCAACATAACATGATTTACAGAATACATGTGGCCAACTAACATTTTGCATTCTACCACCGGATGTTTGGATCAAAATGTGAACCAATCAGGTGAGAGCCAGGCGTTTCCCGTCATCCCCTAGGTTTTGCAGCCGGTGAAGAGCAACTGCAGCACTTTGCTCCCAAATCTGCGGCGGCCTTCATCTCACGAGGTTCTTTGCATGCGTATGCATGACGTCAGAGCAAGTCGGCGTTAAGTCGGACACAAATCTAACCGGCATGCACTGAGCGCTGATCACCGGTGATCTAATCTGCGCAGAACCGGCTCATCTCGAACAAGCCCTATGACATGTAGCCAATAAGTGAAGTGATGGAAGTACATCCACCATGTTTTGCTCCAAATTCACGTTTTATCTCGAGGTGTTAAGATTTTCTGTCTGCCCGGGGAATGTTTGTGTGTAGTTTTAAGTTACCACACACCATAGAACCAACTCTGGTACATCTACGTGTTTTTTTTTTTTGTATTGCCACGTGTCATGTCTCATTCATTGATAACTGTCCGACAGTTTTAATGTTGGTCTGAGTGAGGTATCTTAGAAAGTGGATTATGGATGTTTAATCTCAAAGGTTACCCAGCAGGCTATGCTAAGGTTTAACAAACCTTTACTTACATCTTTAAAGGGATACTAAGTTTTTGGCTTGCTTTTAGCACCCTGTATTGTCCGTTAGTGGAAGCAAAAGTGAAACGTGTCGTTGCTTTGCGTTTGTCTTTTTAACACCGTAATCTAACAGCTGAAATGTCTCTCTAGCCTTCCTTAATGTCTACAGGAGTGGTTCATCACTAAATCAAACAAATCAGCTGTGTTCACTATCAAAAACAAACAGGAAATGCGCTGGAACCAGACTCCAGCGTCATGCATGTCAGCTTCACTTTACTAAGACTTAACAGGGACCGGCCCGTGTCGGAGTGACATTTCATTAACTCTAAAGGGACATTTTAGCACATACTGGCTCAAGAAAATTATTTAAATATGAAAAAAGTTGCATAGTATCTAGGGCTGGTCAATCCATTGAAAATTTATCGTTATCAAAATTTCTGACTTATCGATAATTTCCCATGTGAATAAATTTGATTAAAAAAATTAAGATGTGTGTAGGTTGGCAACATTCATGTCCTTTTTAGAAGCTGTACCCACCTTGAGTCACGTAAAAATGTGACTCAACGTAATACTTGACAGCCTCTTCAATTGGACAACTTTTGTTTGATACCCGTAGTTATCATTTATCGTTATCGAGGTGAAGTCCTCGATAGATCCTGATATGGATCTTGGGCCATATCGCCCAAGCCTAATAACAGCTGTCAGAATGTCATGTTTCTACTTCAATAATCTGAAGCCCTGTGCACAGTTTTATTTTTTTTATTTATTTATTTTTTTCTCTCTGGGAGGGGGGGGTTGTCCTGGAAGAATCTCATTAGAAACAGTCGTGAGAAAAAATTGAGTACTTAAGGGTGATTGGCTAGTTTGTGACCGGCTCAGCAACAGCTTATTGAACAGTCCCACAACCACATTCTCCAACAGGCTTCAATTTGTCAACTTGTGCAATTGACCAATGAAATAACACCCGAAGAGTGACAAGAACTCACGAGACATAACTCGTGTACAATACAACACAAGAGTAGCATTAACGTTGGCAAGTGGAGGCTACACATAAGAGCATGTCCAGCCCTTTTTGGAGTGTGGTTCAGAGTCCAATGAAAAAAATTTTTCCACATTGTCTTTGGTAGCTTTTGGCTTTTAGTGATTTAGGCTTGTTGGTGTGTCCTGCTAGAGGGAGACATTATGTAGTTTGGTGCAGATCCTGAGCTGTGCAGTGTGCCATCGTAGAGCCTTAGTGTGACATGAATCTGTCTTCTGCAACAGCCGAAGAATGTTCAGTACGTCCCAGCTGGGCGTAACGTGAAACCAATAGATGTTGTTTTAAAATGGCTTAATTTAAATCCTCAGAATGATCTGCTATAATATTATGGGATGGTTTTAAGTTAAAATCAAAGCTGTGTTTTAAATCCTGGAATCTGATATCTGTAAAATCTGACCACCTTCTGCTTTTCCACCTCTGCTTCAGGTCTCCGGCCAAGATGAGCTCCAGTCAGGCCGGCAGCCTGGAGAGCAGCTCCCTGACGGGGTCGCTATCTCTGGGGCCCGACCTGCCTCACTGCCAGTGCTGCATCTCCTACGAGGCACGCCTCAAACGCCTCTCCTGCGGCCATCTTTACTGCAACCCCTGCTGCGACCAGATCGTCAACATGGCCTTCGAGGACATCGAGGGCCTGTCTGATTACCCGTGCCCCATGTGCAAGTCGGTACAGCAGCTGGGAGGCCTGGGCCCGTCGTCCTCGGGGTACTTCTTTGGTTCCTACGGCCTCCTGCAGAACGAGCAGCTGGCTGGGAAGGAGCACGGGAGCCGGTGGGGCTGAAGATGCTGATGTTGGATCCGTTTGGCTCTGCCATCAGACTCGGGACAAACAAGCTTTCCACCTTGATCTGCTTCTCCTTCTGTTGTCACCAGGTGAAATGTGTCGGACACTATCATCAGTGAGTTATAAGTGCCATGTTACGTTTCCAGCCTGTCAAACGTGTCGTCAGCTAAATAAATATGGCAGAGAGCTTGTTCCATTGTTTTCTCTTGAGGTGAAGTCCAACTCCTCATGGGCCTTCTAAGAGGGAACCGAAGCGGAGCTTCAGACGAGTAGACGGAGCGGATTTGTTTTTCATATTTTAATGTTTCCTGTCAGATTTCATAGGTTTACTGTGGAAGTGTCGACCGGGTTTTTGCACATGAACTCTTAAATTAAACATTTTAAATCCTAATTTTATTGTAAATTTCCAAACTCTTTTACATGTTGCAGAACATTTTGTATTTTAAGAAAATAAAGCTTGTGAGCCTGTGTGACAGGTTTTATTTAAACCATGAACAAGAATGACAACTTAACTGATAACACTTAATCATGACTCAAACATGCTAGTACAAAAAACATATTTACATCTGACAAATTAATTTGTACCGAAACCTTAAATGATACGAGTGCAGAGCTTTCAAGTTTCTGTGTAACAGGTGACGTTTACTTCTGCGTGGAAGACAAACACATGGGTTGGCATCACAACCTGGAAAGCTCTGTGCTTTGTTGATGAATATTTACAACAGTTTAATTCATAGTGCGATCAAGTGAGGTACCTTTGGGCATGAGAAGATCTGGATGGAAAAACGACCATGTTTATGAATGACAATGCTGAATCTGACCCTGCTGTTGGGGTTTAAAGGGAGTTTTATTCCTCTGGTATAAAAGGGACATTATGGAAAACTCACTTGTGCATCCTTTTGTGCAGACATGTGGGTCTATTGCTTTTATAAACACTCCAAACGGGGGCAATCATTTTCTTTCCATGATTGGTTTTAAAAATTATGTGCCTAAAACGAGCATCCCTGATTGTGATGTCACAATAAGGAAAATAATCCTCTTGTTTTTTGAACCCGGTCGACCTCTGGTCTGCACCTCCCAGAGGCAGACTGATCTAGCCTCGTTTCCGCAGAGCCATGAAACGGCTCATTCTGACAGGTGCTGAAACCATCAAGCTGCTGAGATTGCTTTATGAGCTGTTTCACAAAAATCTATGAACCTAAATCGCACAAGCATAAAATCCTAATATCCCCACTTTACGCCCCAGCCTAGACTTGTAAAGACCCCACGTTTCCAACAGTGGATCTTCTGTCCGCTCTAAAGCAGAGCTGTAAATAATTCCCATCTACAGCTGGTGAGATGGGAATTATAACTGACACAGAAAAATCTCAGAATGGTAAAAAAAAAAATCATTCCTTTAATTCAAGCAGTTGACCTGAATGCTAACTGCAAACGTAAACATCAGAGAAAACAGAACGTTCCCTCATTTTCAAAGCTGACTTTCCCTTTAAGGTTCCACCAAAAAAAAAGTTATCAAACTTTGGTCATACATTTCTGTTTCCCACATTAGACACTGATAAATAATACTTAGTAAGTGAAATGTTTGTACGGGATTACACTTGTTCAGCCCTGGAAGGATCCGGGCTGACCGCTCCAAAGCGACGCGAGGGCAGAGAGGTACCAAAAATAGCTCCTGTGTCCTGAATTCCACAGTAAAGTCAGAAACAGCTGAAACAAACCGGACAGAATTCTCCTTTGTGTATCAACGTGACTGAAAGATATTTTAAAAAAATCAAGTTTTAGAGTCACTGGAAACGTTTAAAGGTTAAAGGCTGACAAAGCGCCTGTGGAACCGGCCTCCTAATGCCGTTATCAGAAGAGACTAAAAATAAACTGCCTCCATCTATCCAGGTCGTGTTTTAAACCAGAACACCGTTGTAGTTTATACAGCATAGCCACCAAGCAGCTCCTCGTTATTTCCAGACGTGCTCTTGTTCGGGTGTCCTTGGTTCTGGATGTCAGTGAGCGAGGTGTTGGGTTTGGTTCTGGGGTGTGACGAGGTCTCATGAGGCCAGCGAGGGCCCGTTGCTTTTAGGCAACTTGGCGTTGGTGGGTGGGGGATAGTAGCGTCGGTCGGCTTGAGCATCCGTTACAGATGAGTTCCCAAACAGGAACGAGTGCTTGTTGGTGCTGCCGCGGTCTCTGCTCCCGGGCCTGGACAGCGGTGCTGAGGCAGAGGAAGGGGCCCTGCAGGTTTGGTTGTTGGAGGTAGGTGGGGGAGCCGGCCTGGGGGCTGCCGCCGTGGCCGGAGTCCTCGATGTCAGGTACAGGAAGGTGCTGTTGTTGGTGCTCCGGTTCAGGTTGGTGTCAGTTCGCCGCGGTTTAGGCGTCACGGTGGGCAGGTCAGTGCTGGTGCTGGTGGAGGCTTGTGCCAGCTTGTCTCTGAGTTGCTGCACCTCCTGAGCCAGACGCTCCACAGGATGGGGCTGGTTGGTGGAGACGGGATGGGAGAAGGCCTGAGGACAGAGCGCAACATGGTCACGTTCCATTTACGGCAGCACAAAACCCAAATGGGTCCAAAGAATGGTCAATAGAAACAAATTAAAACCTTGGGAGGAAACAACCCTGCCTTTGTGGTGACTCCCACATCACCGCCCACATAACTGCCTACGAATCTGTTATCTCTGTCTCTCCTCATCTGGTCTCACCCATTTCCTAAATAAAAACGGGTTTCTGCGTCATCCTGATCACAACTTCCTCTCCCTCTCTCAGCTGTTCTCGGTCCAGGTCGCCTGCAGGAACCAGATGATGTAACCAAATGGTTCTGGTTTTTCCCCAAAAGGGTTCTTAACTGATGGCGAAGGCAAACCTTTCAAAGAACGACCTTCAATTGTATTTTCAGAAGTTTGTTACAGTAAAATGTCAAAGGGTGAAGAAATGATTCTAGCAGACCTTTGGAACGACACAGATAACAGAAATTACTCTGAACTGGTTCTTTAAGCACGGTTTTATTGGCGCCATGTAAACACACACACATATACACATTATATACAGTAAAAATGGTAAATGGCCTGTATTTCATATAGCGCCTTCTAGAGTCCTGGAACCCCTCAAAGCGCTTTACAACACAATCAGTCATCCACCCATTCACACACACATTCACACACTGGTGGGGATGAGCTAAGATGTAGCCACAGCTGCCCTGGGGCGCACTGACAGGCGAGGCTGCTGAGCACTGGTGCCACCGGTCCCTCCGACCACCACCAGCAGGCACCGTGGGTTAAGTGCCTTGCCCAAGGACACAACGACAGCAACAGTGTGAGCGGGGCTCAAACCTGCAACCTTCAGATTACGGGGCGAGCTCTTAACTCCTGTGCCACCGTCGTCCCAGTGTGTGTGTGTGTGTGTGTGTGTGTGTGTGTGTGTGTGTGTGTGTATTTGTATAAAAATGCAAATATCGAGTATCAACTCATCCTATTTTTCTCAAATAAATAGTTAAGCAACCAGTGCTCGTTCACCTACAGCAGGTGTTTCCTGTACCTGAGCTTCTTACCCGACACAGACCTGTTAGCAGTTTAACAGATTTCTTCTCAGCTTGAACAAAATAAGCGACTGTACTCGCCCACACAGCCCTCCTCTATTCTCATCATCACCATAGAGACGGTGAGGCTGCTGGGCAGACCAAACAGCCGAAGTCGTTTACAGAACGAGCAGTCACGACCACGATGAAGCTCAGCACATGCACACCTACACCTGATGATTCATCCATATTGCACACTGAACAAGAAGGACTTGACTCCAGGCATGTACCTGAGCATGGAGCGCCCCCCGGAGGTAGCACTCTCTCCACAACCCCATGCAGGGCCCCATGAGGAGGGGCAGCAGGGGCTCATAGGGGTCGAGAGGTCCCTGCGGTCCAAAGGTGGACGGGATGCTCTGAGGGAACTCTGCCAGGGCCCATGCTTTCAGCAGCCTCTCTAGACCGGGCACGCCCTCAGAAGACGGCGCCCTCCGGTGGCTCTTTTTGTAAATGCCAGAAGTGTTGCTGCGCCAGGGGGGCAGGTTGGCAGGGCAGGTGAAGGTGCCCCGAGACAGCAGGAACACTGAGCCAGGGATGGTGTCCATCAGCTGCTGGAAACATTGAAGGAGACAGAAAAAAAAAAGATTTATTTAAACTTTAAAACATTTTTTAAAAAGATAACAGGCGTACTGAAGTCAGTGAAAAGGATGTAAACACTGTCACAGTTGACTGTCAGCTTCCGTATCCAATTCTTAATCCTGATAAATATTCATGAATACTAATAAATACTCATAAATACCCATAATCCTTTATAAATATCCATATACACCTATACTCAAATACTTCAAAATAGTTAGATACCCATAAATACTCATAAATATCCATATACACCTCAACTCTTATAAATATGTATTTACACCTATAAATACTCATAAATACCCATTACTACTTGTACATACACATAAATACTCATGAATAACTTTACTTTTTTGCCTTTGAATGTATTTGTTCTGTACTTTAATACGTCTTTACTCTATGTTCAGCACCTTGGGATGGGGTAGGAAGGGGCTTTATAAATAAACTTGAACTTGAATACTCATAAGTACTCAAAAACTCTACACAACCAGCTGAAAGTTCAGAATATTTTAATGATCTTTTCTATATTTTTAAATAGTGTTAAGTTTTCTGTCATGCTAGTTGGAAACAATTTCTTTAGTTTCTCACCAGTCCAACCACATGGTGCAAAAAGGTCATAGGTCACAGGACCTGGGCTTTACAAAACACTAATGTAAACACTCTGGAGACTTAATTACTTTCAAAGTATATCCGTAAATGACCACAAGATGACGCTGTGGTCTCTGAACATCAGTCCTTTATGCACCCTGATGCTCAGGACCGTGTTACAGACGTGGGAGACGAACCCTGTGTGCCTCCGGGTTGGTGTTGAGGTTTCCGTTGAGCAGCGGCTGGAGCGGGGGAGTTGGAGGGATAGGTTGGGTGAAACGATCTCGTCTCTCCTGGTTGTACTGCAAGGCCCAGTCCCACACCGGAGGCAGAGGAGGGTCGGACGCATCAGAAGAAGAGTCTGGACTCGGCACATCCCTCCAGCCGTTGACGGGGGTGTAGGACTGGCCAAGGTTCTGGGTTCCGTTCAGAAACAGTGTCAGGTTTACTCTGAGGTGAATGCTTAAAGGAAAAAGATGATAATTTCCCAATCAGGTGCTCCGTACCTGGGAACGTTTGCATCTCTCCCGCTGGCAGTTTGTCAGGAAGGTGGAGAAGAGTGGCAGATGAACGCTGTCGTGCAGAGCCAACAGGAAGTCATCAGTCAGCTGGAAGCGAGAAGGAAACTGGAACCACAGCTGCCAGACACAATCCAGGAAGAGCAGGAAGACTGGAGACTGGTGGGAGGGATGAAGACGAAAGTTAAATGCAGGTAGGAAGTGTGAGAGAAGTGTCGGAGAATCTAGAAAAAACCTCAAGCAAACAAAAAAACTTAGAGCGGCTCACAGCCTCCTAACATGATGTAAGCTGCACCTCCATGTTTTTACACGTCCAACGTTTGCATTCATGCAGCAGATTTTGTTTTACAGCTCCAGTTCACTCGACCTCTCACCTCTTCTTTGTCGTTGTCACGGTGATAGTTGATGCGGCTGTAGAAGCGGTGTCCAGCCATCACCCACTCCTTCTGCACCAGGCCCTGGAAGCCGTGCTGGGTCCGACAGTGGGGGTCACACATCACCTGCACCAGGCTGGACACCATGCAGCTCATGTCCCGGTCTTCCACCTCTGTTCAGGGACGGGACAGGACAGGGACATGCGGAGACATCAGCAATATTCTGACTCGTTAACTAACATCAGCCAACGTTTACGGTTTGATTTTTCCCACCTGACTTGTGCTAAAAAGTGTTTAGGAACCCTTATTGGTTTGATCTCTGTTATTACAGTCAGCACAGCATCTGCACGACTCATCAAGTCTAAACTGTGCAGAGTCATTCTAGTATCACTAGCTGTGACTGCTGTGCATCCAGTTTTCATGCAGCACCTTAGGGACACATTAATCTTTCACCTCTAACCACCATTTAATTCTACTGCTGCATCTTTTAACTAAAGGAAGGGCAGCAGAGAGGGACGAAGACCAAGCAGCAGACATGCTAACAGGGTGACAACAGGTCTCCTGGGGCCAGTGTGCATTGAGACGTTTGGTTCCTGTTGAGTCAGAGGAAAACCTTAGAGCACTGCTAAAACACGAACAGATAAACTAACGATGTGAGAGCTGTAGACGGTTAAACCCCAGCAGCAGATGGACGTCATCAGCTGATGGACAGAAATGGTCTGAATAACCTGGGTCTAATTTGGTTCTTATGGTAAATGGTCTGTATTTATACAGCACTTTCTACAGTTTTACAACACCCCAAGGTACTTTACAACACAATCAATCAAATTTTATTTATAAAGCGCTTTTCAAGCAAAGTGCTTTACAGAATTAAAATGACCCCAAATTCCCATAACAGTTTAAAAGCATTAACAGACATATGCGCGCGCACGCACACACGCACGCACACGCGCGCACACACACACACACACACACACACACACACACACACACACACACACACAGTAAAAATTTATATTCAGCTGAGTCCAGAAGAGCCAAGTAAGGTAAGGCAAGGAAACGCCATCAGAGTAGCCGTCTGCCCCGGCAGCATCAGGTCTTCAACACTAAGTCAGGGCGATCAGAGGAGGGGGAGCATAGACTCCCAACAGTCATACATCTGTTTTAGAGGTGAATCAGATCCGAATGCTCCAAGGAGGTCCTTTATGTAAACTAAACACCAACTGACACATTTATCTATGAAGTGGCTTTTGTAAGTCGGACTCTATCCAGACTCTCTGGTAAAGTAAGGATCGTCGGCTAGCCATGCTAACATTGCGCTGGAGACAATCTAAGCTCTTCCTGAGTCCCAGCTACATGAACGGGGATGTCAGAGCACCTTCTACCCTGCTCTACTGCACTCTATTTCTACACTTTCCCTTCTAACAATTCAATTCAATTCAATTAAAAAAGCTACTTTGTTACAATCTCATTTGTATATCACTTGGATTAAAGGGTCAGCCAAAAACATTAACATAAACAACAAAAATGCAGAAAACGAAGGCTCAGAGGGTCGGCAGCTCTCTGGACGTTAGTATGACTCACACAGAAAGACTTCAAGTTTCAGAAAAAAGTTATTCTACTCAACTTTATTGTTTAAAGGTCAACTTTACTCATATGTTTAATGTATTTGTAGAGATTATTGCCTTGTAAGTTGTTCTCTGGGTGGAAAAAGCTGTGGTGCTTTGCGCCCAATTGCGCGATCCTGTCCAGAGGTGAGAGTGCGTAGGGTGTCCCAATCCTCAAGTACGGAAGTTGACCACGCCCCTTTTGCACCCTTGATCCGCACTTCGCCCAAGTCCGCAAGGGTATTACCCACAATGCATTGCTGCATGGCAATTTTTAGAAGAAGGTGGAACAAAGGCTCAAGTTCCAATTCTGAAAATATGTATTTTAAAAATAAAATAAAAAGTTCATCTTAAGACAATTAAGGATATTTATTCATGCTCTGAATGTTTTGGAAAACAATTTAATGTGAACAGCAATGAATGTAAATCTTGTAAATGTAACATTATTAATTTACACTTAATTAAGGGCCACAACACATTAAAATTTCATATCTAGCATGAAATCCATCTTGCGGACCACTGGTTTATTTAATCAGAAGATTGGAACTTTTTAATGCAGGGATTTAGATGACACCTTGTATTAACTGAGAGACAAGAGAAGAGAGAGAGACCTTCAAACGTTTAAGATGGTTTATTACTAAATAATTTTAAAACAATTTAAACAAGGCTAACTCTGCTAATGATGGATGCTCTTTTTGAATGAGGTGTGAGATGGTTGGTGTGTGTGAATGAGTGTCATTCAGAACCCTCGCATCCGGACAGACAAAGTCTGAGTGGGAGATGATGTTTTGCTCCTAATGATCAGAGTTGGAGACTGGTAGTCATAAACACGAGACGCCATATTGTCGCATCCACATACCCTCAGAATTATGTTTATTCACTTAAGACGCTTTTATCCAAAGCGACGTACAATTTCTAACCTGTAGGGCATGTTGTGAACTGTGGGGGAAACCGGAGTACCTGGAGGAAACCCACGCATGCCTGGGGAGAACACGCAACTCCACGCAGAAAGGCAGCAGCCGAGCTACGAACCTGCGACCTTCGTGCTGCGAGGCAACAGTGCTAACCACTGCACCACCATGCAGAATTGAGACCTCCGTACAGATCCGGATGCCAGGTCCAAGACCCTCCTCTGGTACTGGAGCCGATGAAACAGCGTCGACAGTACGACAAACCAGTCTTTGGATTGTCTCCGGGTAAAAAGCAACAGGTGGTTCACAGCGTCAAAAGGGAACCCTCCTTGGGTCAGCAAGTTCAGCTTTTATTCTGAAATGAACCGTTGCTTGGTTGGTAAAAACAACTGATTTTTCTCAGCTTGATGGTTCTCAGCTTTAAAAGAGAAGTAGGGATGGCCGGTCCGATACTTCACTTAGCATGCGGTGAACTCCATGAGATCTTGAGAACTGAACTTAAGATGGCGTTGGAACCGCTTTATTAATCTGGATGTTTTGATTCTGGTCGAATCAAAGCTGGCAGATTTATAAACACCACAGAGACTCTGCCACGCTTCAGACTAGGAAGGTTCTGATTGGATCAGAACAGCGATGTGTCATGTGATTGTTTTCCTTACATGTGTCAGTGTGTCTAGTGAACTAAGTCATATTACGTATTGAAACATATTAATCATAACATTGTGATTTCACAGATCGGTCACATGGTATTATTGGCTAACAGTTGTTTTGATTAGCTTTATTAAAAATACAGTTCTTTGATTTAATAAAAGAAAAGAGTCTCTTCATCTTCTGTCTTCCTTTTTCTGGAAAGTAAACAGTTTAGAAGCAAATGCATGACCCTGAGGCTGTCTCATGCACTCTGGCGCTGTGTCAAAAGCAACTGTGGATAGAGGTTAAATAACCTTGAGGAATAGCTCCTTCATCACGTTACATAAAGAAAGTTTGAAAGTTTTAATGAAGATTTTGGAAAGGGTAGCACAAACAGTGACTGGCATGCCTTGTGGTCGATGACGCAAGGGTCCCTGTCCCAATTCAGCAGTGACTTGCAGACTTGTGTACTACACACTCAAAACCTTACAGCGCAATTCCTCCAAGTGCACTACGCTGAAAACCGTAGGGCGCAGTGCGAGTAATGGGATTGGGTCGTCGAAGTCAGCCGAAGAAGAAAGCAGCTTCAGACGACAGGATTTGGAGTCATATTTCCTGATGTTGGACATCTCTCCTCTGATTGGATAACAGCAACTCAACTCTACCACTGACTGTTTGCTTTGCAACACTGATGTTTTATCTCAACAAATAACACAAACCTGGAGGAGTTCTGCTGTGTGGTAGAGTTTCTAATGCTAACAGTTAGCTTCTACTAGTTGAGACGTTCTCTGCTGTTTCCTGGATGCTAAACAAACAACAGCCTTCCCCGTCGTTAGCCAAAAAAGGGTGAGTCCATGAATGTTAAGTGACAGTGTGGATTTTCTGAACGGAGCAATTTTTGTCTACTTTCTATCAGAAGCTAATGCAGGAGACAGGTGTAGGAGACTATTTTCCTGTTCAGCCTGCATGAAAAACTTAGACTGATTGAAAAAAAAGTTAAAATAATTTCTCAGTTCTTTGACAACAATAGTTTTCTCAGACTCTACATCCAGGTCTCCAGGGCCTGTGCTAGCAGACACCACTCACTCTGACATGGGAATAACTCGGTGGAACCATCTGCATCAGGTCCTATCTAAACCTCCAGCTTCTGCTTTCTCTGCCGAATAAAACCGAACTTACAGAGAACAACGCCAAGACAGATAAACCACCAGCACTTTCTGCTTAAAGGTGCAGAAATACAAATGTTCCATTTTAATAGGAACTTCTAACATAAAGAGGCAAAAGGTTTATTCAGAGATCTGACGCAAGGACAAAGGTCTCAACAGCAACACATCATCTCTGTAATTATTCATTGTTTTCTCAGGTTTATTGTGACTTTTGAAGAACTTTGGTTCTACAGTAAAACAGAATGTGTTTGCATCTAAAGAACTGAGTGGATTTGGTGTTTTCACCAGGTGCTTCATTTAGTTCCTGAAACCCTCAACAGTTTGAAAAGGAACTAACCACAAACATCCTGTCAGAGTGATAAAAAAACAAAACAAAACAAAACATCTGTAGCATCAAGATGATGAAGTACTGACAACAACGATCCTAAAATCGCACACTCATGAGTGGAATCAGGCTACAACTAAAGCACAGAAACGCTCAGAGAAACCCTCTCTCCTGAGTGTGAAGCTGTTCTCTGAGATTTAAAAGTAAAACATTTCTTTGCCTGTTGAAGTCAAACCTGAATAATATCAAATAACCTAAAAAGGAAGATGTTCTGGTGTGGGTTTCTGTGTGATGGTGCCTCTAAAGCCTTTTCTCAGTGTACATGTAGGCTCAGCGGAGTGAGGTGGTTGGTGCTAAACGGTTCCTAGTGAGAATGGAGCTGATGTAAATTATAGATGGAGCCGGGGTCTGGCGTGACCACACTCACCTTGCAGTGCCACCGTCAGGTGACCGCTGCGAAGCAAACAGGCCACCTCTGAAGCTTTCCTCAGGCAGGACCTGGAGACAGAGACAAGGTCAGGATAAGGTCTCCTTCAGAAGCTCCTTTCTGTTCTGTGAGACACGCGGGAGGGAGCACGAGCAGATATCCAGCTGCAGAAGGTTGCCAAAGCTCATTAGTGATGTTTATTATCAGGTGATCAGAGGGAAAGCTCAGGTTAGACGTTGGGAGACAATGATTACAAAGGTGGAAGGATGCTGAGGCTGCAGCCACCAGGCTGAGCGGTAACGAGGATGCAGAAGACAAGATTAAATGGAGACGGATGATTGGCTGTAGCTACTCCAGCAGGGACAGGTTTTTGCTAGCCTGGAAACACATTCCACTCTTTTTAAGTGGTTGAGTCTGTTTAGCTTCAGGGTGACAACACCTCTTCCAACCCTAGGTGCTGCTGCCAGGGTGAGATTTAACCCTTTAAACAGTCAGCTGCTTGTCTCCATCCCTGTTGTCTCTCTGGTGACTGATGCTTCTGACGCACGGGTGCTTCTCTTTTACAGCTGATTCAGCAGAAGGCACCAGCTCTGGTTTGTGAGCATGGTGAATGAGTGCTGCACAGTAATGTGAAACATCTGTTTTCACGGGTTTTAAATGTTTTCAAATAAGCAGAACATGAATGTAAATAAAACAAAAACAGGACAAGAAAAACAACTGAAAGTTTCCTCATGTAGAGCATTTTCATTTATTTATAATAATCTGCAGAGATCCCTCTGATCACAGTTCTTTGACGTTTTTCTAATCATTCTTCGGTTGCACACATAAAATAATCCTAGATTTGACCGACTGGATGACATGATAGGGTTGGGCATCGAGAATCGAGCATTGATTGGAACCGGTTCCAACTGTTCATTTTTCCCAGAATCGCTCAACGTTTTTTTATTTCGATTCCTAGTTTCGATTCCTAGAGTGCCGACGGAAGAGGAATCTGCGGCCGATCTCCGTGAAAAATAAACGTGATCTGCAAATTGTGATCAACGCTTTTCATAGCTGATCACACTAGCTGTCTGTCTGCAGCACCGAGTCCCCCCTCCCCCCACCCGGCGCGCAGCGGCCAAACCTAAACAAACATGTCTGCCGAACTTTTACTCCGTAATGTAAACTTTAACTCCTGCAGCGTAGAGGAAACTTGTCAAAAGACGTCAGCACGGTGGATTTAATAGAAGCTTTAAAAAACAAACTCTGGACGGTGTGAGGTGAGTTTGTCTCACTGCAGAAATAACAACACACACGGAGCGTCAGCAGTCAGCCACGTGAGCGTCAGAAGGCTGAACAATAACCTGTAGAATAATTAAAGTCATCATGCTAGAGCAGCTTTTCTCTGTGGTGGACCACACCAGCTTCTGCCACAATAAATAACAATAATAATAATAATAAATCGCACACAAAGCTGTAAACATTTTGATTTCCTTTCTGAACTATTTCTGTTGAGTTTTAATGTTTAAAATCTGTTAGATTGTTACTGACAGCAGCTACATTTAAGTTTCACTTTCTGTTCTGACTGAATGCTGCTGCAGCATGGAGGTGTAGTTCTCAGTCATCCTGGACATGATCATCCTGAGAATTTTAGCTGAAAACAGCTGGATGTTTCTGGATATGTTGGAGACATTTAGCCTCTCATCCCAGAGGCTTCTTCCAGACTTTGGTTGTGGTCAGAAACAAACACACTGGTTGTGCTGCAAGTCTTTTTCTTTTTATCTCCAAAACAAGTTTTTGTCTAAATGAAGGTGATGTTATTGTTCATAGAATTAAAATTCATGTAGAAGTTAAGATTATTTCATCAAGTAGAACCTGTGGTTAGCTAGCTCATGTAAAGCGTGCCATGTCTTGAAAGAATCGGAATCAGGAATCGATAGGAACCGGAATCGAAACGAGGAATTGGAATCGGAATTGTTCAAAATCAAACGATGCCCAACCCTACTGATGAGGCCATCAGATTAGGCGTTTTACCTGATGTAGTCGAGCCAGTGGGTGTTTTCCAGGGTAGATAACCATTTGTCATCAGGCACAGAAACGGAAGTGGAGATATCTGTGAGAGCAAGTGTGAGACTCATATCAGACACTTATACAGATAAGAGTCATGAGATAATTAGGGCCTAAATTTAAGATTTCCTAAGAGTAACATCCATTTGTTTCCCCAGCTGGAGTTGAAGATGGGATGACTGGGATGACTGGGATGACTGGGACCCAGATAGTTATCAAATGAATAAAGAATGTATCTGGGTTTGTTTTTAAAAGATGCAGAGACATCAAACATCCTGAAAATTAAGTCACTCATTAATCTAATTTAATTTTCAAATCTTTTTTGTTAATTTTTATTTATGTCCCACTTTAGAAAATGGTGCCTAAAACTCACTCATCAAAAATGTGATATAAATTATAAATTATAAGATAATAAAATAAAATAAAGCATGTGTGTCCATGTGAGTCTGTGTGCCTGTGCATGCATGCAGCCATGCATGTGTCTGTGTGTGAATGGGTGCATACATATGTGTGTGTGTGTGTGTGTGTGTGTGTGTGTGTGTGTGTGTGTGTGTGTGTGTGTGTGTGTGTGTGTGTGTGTGTGTGTGTGTGTGTGTGTGTGTGTGTGTGTGTGTGTGTTGTGAGGCACTTCACAAGAACAAAATTTAAAAATGTGTATGCGTGTGTGTGCATGTGTGTGTGCATGCATGCATTTGCGTGCGTGTGTGCATTTGTGTGTGTGTTCATGCATTTGTGTGCCGATATTTATTCAGGTGTGTGTTGTGTGTGGAGCCCACCTCCCAGACAGAGGGCGCGTAGCCGGCTGTGAGCCAGCTGGATGTCAGTGGGCGTCGGTAGCTCCTCCCCCAGCTCCACCACCACACACAGAGAGGACTGACAACCAAACAGGATCATCTCCAGGTTTCTGCAGAGCAGCACATCCTGCTATTAGCACACCGCTGCAACCCCATGCTGCTCCTACTGTTGGTGGCTTCCATCCGTCACGAATGAACTCACTAAAACAGAAGTTAAGCCAGATTCCACGTGCAGCAGCTTCCAAACCCTTAAGCTCGGATTCAGAAACCCCATAGCAGTAAATATTACTGAATTTAAAAAAAGTTTATTTATTAGAAATAAAAACAACAAGGAAGTTCTAAACTCCAACACTGAGTTTGAAGATGAAAGCTGCAGCCTGTGGGTTACAGCTCTTTCTGTTTGTTTCCTGTTCACACCACATCCAAATTTATCAGTGCATCCTCTCTAAACGGTGATAAAAAAAATACCTGCTAGTGGTGAAAATGTGACTCAGATGCAGGAAGAGGCTGTAACTCACTGGTGAAAAGTAGTAAAACCTACATAAAGCAACTCTGAACAAGCTCAGTGAGAGAATCTGACGTCCTCGGAAAATGACTTTGTCCTCATTTTTATGACTTTGTTTGCCAGCACAGCCTTTCTTATTACCTTCTGCAACACACAAACATCTCCAGCAGCTTAGAAGAGTCCAAACTTAAATTCTGCTTCTGCTCTGAGGTTAAATAACTCTAGATAGTTTTCATTTCTAGCTCCGAGTCTGTCATGTTTTTCCTCACAAGTCTGCAGCTGGTGACTCAAAATTCAGCCAATAATCTGTTTTATGTTTAAATGCTGTGAACTTCATTTGTTTTCATGGAAAAAGACAGAATTGAAATGGAAATGTTTGAAACAGAAGATGTAAATAGGAAGAAATATCTGAACTGTGTGAACTTTGAGGCACATCTCCAGGATAAAGTCAGCCAATTTTAACACCACCGTACTTTTGTTACGTTTCCACAGACCTGATGTCGTCCTTCTCGTGGTAGATGTTGTTCTGGAAGCTGGACATCCGCAGCAGATCGCTGCCTCGGGGATGCCTCCAGCACCAGCGCTGCATAAAAAAAACACTAATTACACATTTCACACGAAAACGGCCCAAACTGCACATCTGCACACATTTTTTACTTTAAAGGTTGATTTTTCTGATCTTGTAATGCAAGAAGGCATGTGAGAGATGTTTACTACTGAGTCGTGAATAAATTATCAACAAGGAGGCAGAGCATTTCATCGATATGAGATTCAGATTTGAGTACTAGATTCAGATTCAGATTTGAGTACTATTTGAGTGATACGAGTTCAGATTTAATGAAAACAGAATGAACATGACCTAAGATGACGATTTAATAAATGACTCACGGGGATCCGTCCCTCGTTAAAATGGGAAAAGCTCTTCTTCAGCTCCGTGTCCAGAACCTTGTGTGGAACCACGATGAATCTGGACAGACTGTCAGCAACAAACAAGAACAGCAGAGAACATGAAGAACATAAATCTGGATCTGAATCCTGGAGCACACCAGGTGGGATCTGGTTTTCTGTGAGATGGAGCTGTTTGGGTTTGCACGCCCGTGCTTTTTACCTGGTGGACATTTCAAAGCGGTCGTTGACTGAACTGACTCTCCAGCTGGTGGCTCCACACCTCTCCAGCTCCTGCTCCCAGTCTGAAGCTGAATCAAACCAGTTCATGTGGGTGTCTCGGCGACGGTTGCTTAGAAACTGCTTCATTTCTGGAGGAGGTAAACGAAATCAAAAGCTAAAGCGGAGGTTTGTTTTGGGGCCAGATACAGTTTAGAAGATCAGAACACTATTTTTAGAGGGACAGCCTGCATTAATGACCATCACATTCCTACATTAGTAATAATGTTACTAATGTGCAATAATGAACATTATATAGTGTAGATACACCTTATGAGTAGGTAGATGCTCCACCCATCCAATACTCATGCGTTACTTTTATTTTACCGACCGTCTCACAGGATCAGGTCAGGAAGATCCGACCACACGCTCAACCTTTAGGGCAGAGGTGAACCCTAGAACACCTAAAGAGTAGTTGGGGGGGGGGGGGGGGGGGGGGGGGGGTTGTATTATTCCTCCATGAGCTGACAGTCATCCACAGAGTGTCCAGCCTAGCGTAGCTTTAACATAATCTAACGTATTGTACGGGCAGGCTCAGGTTTCCATACCTGCTTGTTCAGATCCATGAGCAAACGTGCTTTTAACCGACTGCTTAATTATATACTTAATTTAAAAGGTTTCATAAATCCAGCTTCTTCAAACACGGACTGCCTCGGTCCAAACCGCTGACGGATTTCTTCCCACATGGTTTCGGATTCAAAGCCGAGGGAAAGGTTTCCAGACTCGACAGCTGGAGGATCCGTGAACTTCAGCTCAGACCAGATCTGGTGTCTCCAGTTTCTCTCCTCCGATTTAAAAGGATGTTTCAGCCACCCTGACGTTAGCACATCAGACATAGCTTCCTGAACAACCTCAGTTTGGAGAAATAGCAGTTCACCCTACATGACTGGGAGCGAGTCTGAGTTTTGGGCATAATTGGATCATAAAGCTGCCTAAATGGACTCGGAATAGACTGAACTCAAGCTGCTGCTGTCATTAGAGTTCCCCCTGCCCCTGAGTGAAAGTCAGTTTCACACTGCACAGTTCTTTATGCAGGATTTTGCTCTGGTTTATGATATATGTGCTGGTAAACAACCAGGAAACACACAAACATTTATAAACTGGTGTCTAAGAAACCTTTACTAGGTCTGTGGAGCTAAACAAAGAACACTGGAACTGCTTGGATTCCCATTAGCTCATTTGACCTGAAGAACATAAACTCTATTTCTCTGAACAGAGGCTGCTCAGATACCCATTAATTATTCATAAGTCTTACAGTGAAAGACACTTAAACAGGCCAAAAACAACACGCATCTGACTTAGACAGAGCTCCAGATGGTCCAAATCACACAGAGAGGAGGTTGGAGAGATGAGAAACTGGGATCACAGATTCGCTGATGTGTTCAGTCTTCGGACGGAGTGAAACCAATCAGACTTTCTGTTTGAAACCAAAAGAATTTCATAGACGAAGCATGAATAAAAGATCTGTGTTTCTGATTTGAGAGGGCGTTTGGTTCCCTACTCACTGAACCTCTAATCTAATAAATATTCACGAGAGCTCAGATATGCAGAAAACCTAAGTCTAACTGGGTCTGGTGTCTTTTCTGATGTTGACCTCAGCAGTAGACGTCGTAACTGCACACATGTAGAAGATGACAGACGGACCATGTATTAAAGCACCCACCTACACTTCCAAGGGCAGCGTTCTGGAAAGATAAAACAGCCCCGGGTTTGAGAGGCTGGTATGTCCTGGCGATGGTGTAGGTTATCTGAGGAGGGAAACCACAGTGATGTCATCAACTTTCAGCAGTCGGGCAGATCAGCTCCGCCATGCTGATGTCGCGTCACTCTTTAACGACTGATGACTGCAACCGTAAATCTGATGTTCAGCGAACTCTGAAAGAAGCTGGAGCACATCTAAAACACACACACCGCTACACAACCCCCCCCCCCCCCCACACACACACACACCCCTGCACCCCAACTTACGAACAATAACACATATCTGCACACAAATACACACATCTACTCGCATACAAACACACATTAATAAGTATACACACACACCTACAGACACATACACACACGCACGCACACAAACCTTTGCATGCATGCACAAGCATGCGCGCGCACACACTCATACACACCTCTATGACCCGAGTGTCTAGGGTATACACACACACCTACAGACAAACAAGGACACACATTTGCACACAAACAAATATACACACACCTACAGGCACATAGATACACACACACACACACACAAACACACACACGCACGCACACCTCTATGATCTGAGTGTCAAGGGTATACATACTCACAAACCCTTACATGCATGCACACACACTCATACATGCAAACACACACCTTTATGACCTGAGTGTCAAGGGTATACACACACACCTACAGACGAACAAGAACACACATCTGCACACGAACAAACCTACATGCATACAAACACACACAAACAAGTATACACACCTACAAACACGCACGCACGCACAAAGACGTACCTCTATGACCTGAGCGTCAGGGGTCAGCCGGTCAAACAGGAAGCACGTGACCTGCATGTCTCTACAGTAAAGCACCAGTTCTTCTGGGGTGAACTTCAGCGAGGAGTTGGGAGTCACCAGCTTAGTTCTGTTGGGTCCAACTGACAACAGTACCAGTCAAACACAAAACATCTGAATACACTCTTTTTAACATTTGATGAAATATTTGATGTTAAATGTCTCTGTGGGAACAATCAGCAGCTTTCAGTTTATCATTTATTAATAAAAGATCGGCTACTGGAGCCTCAACTATAACAGCTAATTAGACCTAATGATGTCAGTGGTCACAGCAATAATCCAGCTGATAAACACAACTGTGACACGAGGGACACGAGGTTTTACTCACCAGCCACGACCTTCTCGATCGATGCCAAGGCGACATCATGATCTCCGAGTAGGATGGGATCTGCATTGTCCTGCAGCCGAAAATAAGTTTTATTTTCTAAAAAGTTATAATTTAATTATTATTATTTATACAATATCAATGACACAGAAAAATAAAAAAACCTTCAAACTAACTATGCTGAATCCAGCAGTTGTAAAAACAAAGAACACACGTATATTTTTTACGAGTTAGGGCATTACGGGGATGAAGAGATAAAGGTGAATGTATAATCTCACACGTCCAAGATTACAGGACTCGCTACGGTGCAGCAGCAGATTTTATTTCCAGCAGGATAGTATGGAGTCAGGAGATTTTATGATTGTGACTGAAAGAACGTGATTCTGGATTCAGTCAGCTGAAAGATGAGACGCTCCATCGTGTAGGCGGAGCTTGGAATAGAGCTGCTGCTCCTCCTTACTGTACCAAGTCAGCTGAGGAGGTCCATGCCTGCTGCTTGACAGAAATCCAGAACCTTCTGGAGGAGTAATACATCTTATCCTACGTGTGCCCTGCACTCATCTAATAAGCATCTGCTCGTAGTCCCCAGAGCTAAGTGCAATTGTCATTTTAGCCCCAACAAACTTCCACTTGAGATTAGACGTCCAACAGTACTCTAGAGTTTTAAAGTCCAGCATCTAAAGACAACCTAAGTTGCTTTTGGTCGTTTTTTTTCAGCTCAACACCTCCGACCTAAGCGATTTACTGTGTGTTTTGTTGATCGGTTGCCATGCTATTGTAACAGGGTTTCATATTTATGTGTTTTAATTGCATTGTGACTTTTGTTTTTCCCTTTTTAGTGTTTTATCGTTGCTTTTACTGTGTTCAGCACTTTGAGCCACTTTGATTGGTGGTAGTAAAGAGCTTTAGAAATGAAAAGGACTGGGACTTGCGTGGATCCTCCCAGGAGGAACGCTCTGGGTTCCTCCCCTGTACACATTAGAGGATAAACATTAGAAAATGGTGGGTGGGACAAGACTGGGGTGGATGGTTAGGAGTGTGAAGTTTCTCATCTGAAGCTGCATAATTCCAATCAAAGAAAGTACAAGATGGATCATTTATTCATCCCAAGTTTTGAAATGATGGAAAATGAAGTCAGTGTGATTTCAGCATGACTTCACTACTCTTCTCCTTTAGACACCCATGTAACATAACACGTGTAAGAGGTTAAAGGTCAGTTCAGCTAAAGCCTCACATCGGGTTTGGAACTGTCCTGGGGTACGAAGGCCACTCTGAAGTGTGTACAGAACAGGGTACCGGAGATCCAGCCTCGGCCTTCACTGGCTGTCAGCTTCTTCCTCACCATAATGGCTCGCTGGAGCACACACTCCCCTGGCGATGACAGGATGTTAGCATGAAAACACAGTGTGTTAATCGAGCCAGCGTTACTAAAGGTCTTCGCTGAATTCAAATCGCCTAAAGAACCATCAGTAAAATAAGGAAGACATCAGGCTGAAGATGAATTTGACATCTCCTGACTAATCCGATGTTAAGAGTGTGTGAGGAGGATTCAAAACAGGAAGTGAGCAGAGAGAGAGCATTGTGAGCAGCTGGGAGTGGGTGGGACAACATCCTAAACAAAAAGGTACGTCCTTCAATTGTTGGATGTTCTCCGACGGATGAGCAGAAGGAAAGATAAAGGTACAGTTTTACACACTCACCGGGTCTGTTAGCATGAAAACGTCTGAGTCAGAAACAATCGGAGCGTCGGGAGAGACGCTCACGTTTGGAGAACAGAGACTGAGGGAATAACTGGAATTCCAGAACAAAGGTTCCCAAAACAAACCTTTTCACTAGAATAATCCTTTAACACCAAACACACATACACACACACACACACACACACACACACACACACACACACACACACACACACACACACACACACACACACACACACACACAGAGCTGTGAAAAGGCACATTTACATCTCTCCCACTGGAATACAAAGCTTCTTCCAGCTAGTCTGTGGGTTTCCATGGCAACAGAGTCAAGAACAGGCTACAGAAGGTGGTCGTTTTGTCCACACCGAGACGAGGTGATGTCTCCTCAGAATGCTGCTGAGAGAGTTCCCTCTCTGCCTCCAGGAGGAAAGGCCTCAGCCGAGCCAGGCCGGGTCCTTCTCCTAGCTTCATGAATTGGGGAGCAGGAAACCACACATAAACAGGAAGTGGCCATTTTTACACATCAAACCCTCGTTTTTATGCCATTGAGAAGGAGGAAGAATAGTTTTTCTCCCAACACCCTAATTTACTAATCAGAGTTTAAAACCTGTGATTAGTTCAGGATTTCCAGCCGTGGAAAACCACAGGAGACAAACTCTGAAGTAACTTTTATGAAATCGTCTCAGCCGCACATGTTCTCGGCACAAAGATTTAAGATAGAGAGCTCTTGGCTGTGGCTCTGCGTTCCTCTTTTTAAACGTCTCTCCAGTGAGCAGCAGAGCTAAAAACATTCCTGATCCGAGACAAAAAAATTCCTGTTTTTAGTCTGTTAAGAACTTTGTTCAAGCAGGTGACTTAATGCGGCTTAATCCAGAGTGAGTTTATGAAAGAGGTATTGTTGTCTTCTCATCCAGTAAAAGCATTTATGTTCTTCCTGGTCAGCTGCAGACTTAACTGATGCTAGGGCTGATGCCATCGTTTTTCCAGCCTCAACATATCCAGGTTAAGAAATATACAACTCTATTATTATTATTTATTATCATTACTGAAGTGCAGTTTTGGTTGCTGTCACTGGATAGGCCATTGTATTTATTGTTTTGGAGAGACGGGGTCTATTTTATAGTTTTTGATGCAATATTTTTTAACCGAGAGTGAAAGTCCTTTTTTACTTATTTTTTGCTTGTTTGTTTAATTTATTTGGTTAGAAGTTCTGGTTCTGGACATTCCAATGCTAAATAAAAGTTTAACTGCTGCATTATTACGATGTATTACAATTACGATGACAATATATTGTCCAGCAACATTTGTCATCGTCCCAGGCCTAGTTGATGCACCTAAAATTATAATAAAGGCTTTATTCTATTTAATTGACCTTTAACTGAATCTGTTTGGATAAAAACATCTAAAAATGAAGTTAAGCTGCACAGAAAACACTGAAACTGCTGTTTTATAACAGAAACAACTAAAAAAGGATGTTTAAGACAAGAAAAATAAAAATCAGCATGATGTCACTAGTAAAGTAGTTACATATTAAGAATAATCTCAACGTTTTGGCAACAAAGATATTTTTAAAAGCTTATAAAACAATATTTTTACACATATAGAAACAGGATCACTTGTGTAATTGCATTTTTTTAGATACTTGTTGTTCATCATTCATCTGTATAAGAACAGCTTGATAAATCTAACACAAAACTGTCAAATTAACATAACATGTTTTAAATATAAAGCAATGTTACAACAAATGACTTAAATTTGGCTTTTTCTTTTATTGTCAAAAATAAATAACAGTCGTTTTTAAATAAACTGTTTTTGAATCAAAAGGAAAAATATGAACTTTTACTTTAGGATCTGAACTGGAATCAAATGATAATTTGTAATGACCACTGTAATAATAATATGTTTTTATGAAGGCGGGGCGGTTTAAGGTTAAATGAGGAGACGGATCTGCTGAGAGATCTGAACCACATGTTTGTTGCCATCCACATTTGGTTTTCATTTTCAGCTGGGATGCGTGCAGAACTGAAGGCTTCTGCCTTCCTGAGTCCACAGGGAGGAGGAGGAGTGAAGATCAAGAACAGCTCATGAGGAGTATGACACACAAATGTCCTAATCATGAGGAAGAACGGCCTTGACATAAAGTAAACAAAGTATTTCAAATCAGTATTTCTGCATCAGGCAGTGGTAAACAAGGTCGCATCGTCCTGCCAGTAATGCATTTGATCTAAAAAAAAGCACAAAGAAAACTGCTGCGGCGCCAGTCCATCCATCAGCAGGTCATGATGCTGACTGACAGCCCTCAGTAACTTTATCCAGAGGAGGAAATAGGGACGAGCTCTCTGAAGAGGGTCCCTGCCTCTAGCATTGTATGGGGATGGACGGTACACCCCGTCCTCCACCCGCAGCATTCAAACGGTACATGATCTACCTATGGCTGCTAGAGCGGCCCTGGCCCGTTTGCCCTCCTGCAGGCCAGCTCAGTTTCTGAGGTCCAGTGTCCCGGTGTCACATGAGAACACCGATGCTGCTGCTCACTCGTTTCTCATGACGGTGAGAAAGGACTTCTGCAAATTAGTCGCTTTATTCTGTGATCTGCAGGTTTCTCTGTAAAGAAATCCACTTCAATAGACCCCAGTGTGTGTGTGTGCAGCAGTCAGGGTACAGCCCGACATGAGAATAACCTTCTGAACCCCCACCCCAAGTCATCAGAGTCTGCAGGAGAAAGTGAGAGTCTTCAGGTGCAACATGACCCGCCTCACTGACTCCTTTGTGTCTGAATGTGAACTTGTTCTCACTAATTGTCTCAACACAGTCTGGTGTGTGTGTGTGTGTGTGTGTGTGTGTGTGTGTGTGTGTGTGTGTGTGTGTGTGTGTGTGTGTGTGTGTGTGTGTGTGTGTGTGTGTGCACATGAGGAAAGAGAATAATTTCTCTATTCAAACAAGGGGCGTGCACCAGTAGTAACTAACTCACAGATAGCCTAAATTAGGTCTGGGTGTGAAAATGAAGAGAACAAAAGGCAACACACACACACACACACACACACACACACACACACACACACACACACACACACACACACACACACACACACACACACACACACACACACACACACGTCACCCTGAGGCAGCTCCTCGTGAACAGCTGTGTTTCTAATCTAGCTGGAATGAAGGTGGAGAAAGAGAACAGAGATGGAGAGAATATTAATGGAGGAGGAGGTGAGTTCCACAGCAGGAAAGACAGAAATAACAGGAGAAAAAAAAGAGTTGACGTTTTACAGCAAAGTGTTCAAATCCAAAAATAGAATCTGGCAGATGTCAAGCACAAGAATAGTGATGAAGTATTTGCAGAAAACAAACGTGTGAGTTCACAAAAAGCTTTTATAAAAGGACAAATACAAGAAAATAAATCTTAGACAAAAATAACGGTTTCATTTTCACTCCTTATTAAATTACCATATATGGCTCACTTCCTGTCTGTAAAAAAATACATCTACCAGGGAACAAGAACGCTACGTCAGGTTGGCTGATAAATGGTTAAAATCATTTGTAATGAATGAATGTGTAGCTTTATGCATCAGGACCAGTGTAGTCCAACCCTGGTCTTCCAGCGCCACCGTCCATGTTAGGTTCCTCTGCACCAGCACACCTGGTTTTAATCAGCAGGTGGTTGACAGGCTTCTGCAGAGTGTGATGAGATGCTGAACAGCTGATTCAATCACTGAAGCAGGTGTGTTTGAGCAGAGAAACAACTGAAACATGATGGACCTCAGTGGGACATCCATGCAGAAGAAGAAAACAACAATCTTTTATATAGCGCCTCTCAAGATTAAAATCACGAGGAGCTTCACAAAAACAAAGAAAAATTTAAGTATAAAATATTTCAAAAATGATTACAAATATGTTTAAAAGGAGAAAAGAAAAACATTTAAGGAAAGGGAGAGAGGAGATGAATAGAAATGAAGGAAATCAGAGGATCCCGGGAAAGGCGGAATAAGAACAGAATTAGGAGAGGGTGGTGACGAAGGTCACGCAAAAGCCAGCTTGGACAGGTGGACAGTGACCATGGTAACACTGACTCTTCCTACCTGGTAGGCAGCGCAGTTCGAACATGTCTCGACTCCTGGCATTGACGCCACTCTGGCTCAGCATCCTCTCCTTTAGGAGGAACAGAGGGGAGACATCAGCAGAGTTAATCACTACCAAGAGTTTTATTATATAAACCTGTTTAATTACTGGTCAACCAATCAACTACAACTATCTCTAAGATCTACACACACTGGTCAGACTGGTTCTAGATGACGGAAAGACAACAGCAGCTCAGATCAGCTCTGGTTTCTACCAAGCCTTGCAGAAGCTCACCAGCTGCTACAGATGGACTCCAGCAGCAGAAGACCACCTGGTGTATCTCCTGTCTGCTAAGAACAGGATCCTGAGGCTACAATTCACAGAGGACCTCCAGAACTGGGCCAGAAGAGACTGGAAACACCTTTCCTGGTTCTGGTGAGTCTAGATTTCAGCTGGAAGATCAGAATTTGGTGTCACCAACATGAAAGCATGGATCCATCCTGCCTGGTATCAACGCTTCAGGTCACTGGTCGTGTAATGGTGGAGGTGTTCTTGTCCCTCTCTGGAACCCCTTAGAACCACCTGAGCCTGAGTCTTGTTGCTGACCATGTCCTTCCCTTTTTGACCACATGGACCCACCTTCTGATGCAGGATAAAGCACCAGGGAATGAATGAAGCACAATTTCACAGAAGCAGAAATTGAGGTACTTGTGGGTGAGGTGGAGAAATGAAAGGAAGTGTTTTTGCAAAGCAAATAAGAGAAAATCCACGGAGTGGCACAGCGTTGCTGAAGCCGTCAATGTTGTGAGTTCTTCAGAGAGATCTGTGGCGGATATAAAAAATGGTCCAATCGGGATTCGATCCCCAGACTCCCAGGTGAAAGTCACGCGCGCTAACCAGTCAGCCAAACGAAGATCTCTATGGCGTTTGAAGCGTGCCACAACCCGTGCACGCGGATTGGGTCCACAGCGCGCGTGTGAACGGAACTCGCGAGCGGAAATATACATGGCGATAGGTCATTTGTGCACTGAGAGGGAGCAAACTGTGTCTGTGAGTGCACAAGGATGTGCACAAGTGACAAACCTGCGTGCGCGCGTTGTCAACGAGCACACGGCAGAGGAAAACGTGCGCGCGCGGCAGCGTCTGTGCGCGCTCGGCAGCCTCTCTGCGCGCTCGGTTTCTGACTCCTGCTCGCTCGGCTGTAAGGGCTTTTGGCACTCTGGAGGCGTGGCCTGTGGCAGATCTTCTCTGTCCTCTGATTGGTTAGTTTACCCCGCACTTTACCCTCTACCTATCTATATAAAAAAGTCTGATGTTCAGTAGTTGCTGGCATGGCTCAGCTGGGAGAGCGGGTGACTCTCGCCCCGGAGGATACGGGTTCGAGTCCGGGCAAGGAAAATGCAGTAGATGTCATGTTAATTTTTCGTAATTCCAGGTATTTTACAGTTGTGACCGTTCAAATGTCATTAAACGTCCGAATGTTTGCTGGGCAGTGTTTTAAAAAGTGCACATAAGCTAGATGGTTTTAACCATATAAAATTACACTTTTTGTGATACTGGAAAAATACATACTGAAATAAAACTACTGATTGAAAACTTTATGACTGTGGTTGTACAATATATGACTCACTAATACACTGCAAACTCCCTTAGAGTGGGGCTTCGAGAGAGAGAGACAGAGAGAGAGAGAGAGAGAGAGAGAGAGAGAGAGAGAGAGAGAGAGAGAGAGAGAGAAGTTTGGTGCACTTTATATATTTCAAAACATGTTTTTTTTTTATTTTAATGATGCATATAAATAATTAAAATGTTAATTTAATGAAATATTTCTATTTTTTCATTACCTCACCCTTGTTTTGACAAAAACGGGACCTTGCTGGATAATATCATGGAGAAACTATTTGTTCACAGTACATGGCTCAGTGAGGATCTGTGTACCAAAGGAGGAGATACTCAGAAATCTGTCTGCAGATTGTTACAACCCAGACTGGAAGTGGTGGGCTGTAATAAGAAAGGAGACCAAACAGAGGAGTGGGGGTTCAACAACTGATTTATTTAACAAAAGTAAGGATTTACTAAAGCAAGTTAGTGAACAGAAAATGGCCAGTGAGGACTCTCCACCACACAGGAGAGACCCAGTGAAAGCAGAAAAACAGTAGGCTTTGTAGGCAGCACCACACCCTGAGCCCAGGTGCCTCCAAGGCTGCTTAACGAGCTGCCTACAACAGAAGAAAAACATAATTAAACACAAATGAAAACCCAATGAGACGGTGGGGGCATCACAACACGTTCAGGACTACCCAAACACCAGTAATTCTTGACTGCACTGATCTGAGGTGTCAATGGCCATATTCCCCTCTCTTCCAGAGTCATATATTTTCCTCAAGTTCAACTGCACTCTGAAGAGGCTCATTTGGATTGTGCCACATAGTAGGGCTGTCGCGGTAACCGCAAAAATGAAATATCGCGATATGAAGAAGCCCACCGCGCTGCATCATGCGTCACCGCGATTCCTGAACTTGGTTCAACTCAATGATGCATGTTGAGAAGGATGGCTGCACTGGTATCAAAACGAAACGTTACTTCGCTCCTTTGGGAGCACTTTGGTTTTCAGTACGTCAGCTGCTGCGCAGCCAGGGTCCTTGGCCGAGACAGAGCTGCCACCAGCGGCAAAAAAATAAATAAATAAACGCGCGGAGACCTGCTGAAGTCCCGGACAAGCACTGCTTCTGCAGCCGTCCCGAAGAGAGTTTGAGCCGAGCTGGAGCTCACTCGCTACCTGCAGGAGGAATGCATCCACCCTAAAGAAAACCCCCGTGACACGGTGGAGCAACAACCGGGAGAGATTCCCTTTGCTTGTCAGAGTCGCACGCAGGTACGTGTGCGTTAGTGCAACGAGCGCACCATCTGAGAGGGTTTTCAGTGTTGCTGCAAATGTTGCCACCCCTCTCAGATCCTCTCTCAAACCGTATATAATTAACATGCTGGTTTTCCTTGTAGGTAACAAGGACGTGACCGAGCTATAAATCACCGTCATTCGTGTGTGTGAAAGTGAAATGATAGTGCGCCCGCCCCCCGGCGCGCGCGCGCCCAGTACATGTAATTTTTTATGCTTGATTTTAAACAGCTAAACAAAATGGGGACTTGTTTCTTATTTGTTAGATGCTGCAGCCAAATTTGCATTTAAAAGTTTAACCTTCTCCTGAATTTTGTTTTTAAGTTCAGTCGGACTCCGACTGTCGGAGAAACAAACGTTACTGCGATCTGTGTTGTTACTGCCCTTTGATCTGCATTCAGTAAAGTGTTATTAAAGAAGGCACGGCAATTTTTAACCTTTTTTAAATGTGTAAACATTATGTTTAGATAGTACTGCAATAAAAAAGGGCTGCAATAATATCACAAACCGCAATATTAAGCCACCCTGAATCACCGCAGGGGGAATTCCTCAACCGCGACAGCCCTACCACATAGGCCAGTGACCTTTGTCTCAGCACTGTATGCTGGAACTATCAGCGACCAACCTGGGAATCTGGTGTGTTGAAAATGCTACAACTAGAGATGGTCATCATGGTAGACAGGGGTTTCTGCATTGATGACATTGTGCCCTTCAAAGTGTACAGGCCAGCTTTTCTTTCTGGCAAACCTCAAATGTCTGCATGTAAAGTTATAGAAACAGAAGCCATAACATCTCTGAGTGCATGTGGAGCACTCCATTCATCTGGTCCAAGAACACAAGCTTTTTGATTGTTATTCCCCTCCTTGCATTTGTAAACAATCAGCTATATGCTGTGGTTTTTCTCCTTACCAACTTTTAAAATAGCCCACTAGTGAAGGCCTGGGCAAAGAAGCCTGATGTCTGAGAACCTCAACATATGTACGGCAACCACACTGTATATTTACACACTTTCATAAAGAAGCTGCATATCAAGCTTTCATTCAGATGACCTTCAACAGTGCTGCACCCTGCTGAGGGACATCCGAGTAAAACCTTGAGATAGCCATTTTCTGTTCACTAACTTGCTTTAGTAAATCCTTACTTTTGTTAAATAAATCAGTTGTTGAACCCCCACTCCTCTGTTTGGTCTCCTTTCTTATTACAGCCCACCACTTCCAGTCTGGGTTGTAACAATCTGCAGACAGATTTCTGAGTATCTCCTCCTTTGGTACACAGATCCTCACTGAGCCATGTACTGTGAACAAATAGTTTCTCCGTGATATTATCCAGTAGGGCTGCAACAAACGATTATTTGGATAATCGATTAATCGGATGGGGTCTCGACACGATTAATCGATTAATCGGATTACATGGGGAAATTTTTAAAAACTGCTAGGGAAACGTTATTTCTCTCCTTCCTTCACTTTATTTAACACAACATTATTAGAAAACAGTTCAATAGCAGAAAAACAACATGCCATCACCTAAATTGTCTTATAAGGTGTATAGACAGAGACCCTAGGCTACATCTATCTGTGACCTAAAATGCTTGGTCCAAGTTAAACAGCTTAAGGGCAATTCTCATCTGTTTTGCTTGATCTCATCTGTTGACATTTATTTTAAATGTAATTAAACATAGGCTGTGAATTAATCAAAATTGATCACTATTTCCAAAAATGACTGAAAAAATACCAAATAAAACAAAAGTAAATGAATGCCATCCTCCTTGTGATGATGCCCTGGGCAACTGCCATAAAGTCACATCAAGAAATGCTGCTGATCATTCCAATGATCCCAAATAGACTCACATTAGGCCACATGAAAGCAACTGAACCCAAAAATATATTAACCAGTATATAACTGCACTCTCACACAACATGCCTGCAGCAACAGTTAGGACTCCTCCCTCCCTTTTAAAAGCGTTTTTGCTTCTGAGGACATTGTGGTTGTAAAACCACATACTAGTAGTCTGGCCCCGGTGTGATCAACCAGTTTCTGCGGGAATGTGACGGCGGAACCAGGGCCAGATTAACACTTTGTTGTACCCTGGGCAACAATATTTAAGGGCTCCATCATCACGACCCAAGGATCACCATAATGTGGTCACATACAGAATATTTTACTGTAATATGCAGTAAATATACTCAATACTTGAATG